ATTCACTCTCTCACTCTCACCTAGGGACAATTTAGAGTTACCAATCAGCCTAACATGCATGTTTTTGGTCTGTGGGAGGAAACAGGAGCACCCGGAGAAAACCCACGCATGCACGGAGAGAACATGCAAACTCCACCCAGAAAGGCCCCTGGACCGGGGTTTGAACCAAGGACCTGCTCGCTGAGAGGCAGCAGCTCTACCAGTGGCGCCACCGTGCTGCCCTCAAACAGTCTCAAATCACAAATAAAAAAATAACAGTGTTGGACAAATTGAACTAAAAAAGAAGACAAGTAGGAGAGAAATGCAGAGGAAAGATGACAAACTAACAAAAGACTGAGCCACATACTCACCCCATTCTTGAAGACTGACATGGTTGCCGTGGCAACTTAACAAGCACGCTGCAAAAGTTTGAATCAAAACCAATCTCAAATGAGCTCCTTTTTTAAACTTCCCTAACTTTCTCCAACACACACTTGATCAAACTCAGCCCTGAATGAAACTGAAAACTAAATAAATAAATAAATGATAACTAAATAAAAGAAGATCATCTGGGAAACAGAAATTTTAAATTTCTGAACAGATTCATCTAACAACACAGATTCAACCAAAAAAAAACCTCACAAAGGAGAGTCAGTGCTCAGTTTTGCACACGTTAGAGTGGCTGAATGGAAAACTGAGGTACCTGCTGGAGTTTTTATACTGTCATTGCGACCACAGACACACCCTGACACCCTCAGGACACGCCCCTTGCACCCTCAGGAACGCCCCCTTCAGTCACAGCTAAAACACTGAGAGTACAACCTAAGTGTGTGTGTTTGTGTCTGAGAGAGAGGCTGTTAACACCATCAAGCAAGCAAAAAATCAACACTCCAACTTGTTCATTCTACTTAACATCACATCCTCAGTGTGTGTGTGTAACTATGACATTGACGTATTAGGTTTGCTGAGTAATCATTGTTGACATGGGTGCAGCGCACACACAGGCACACGTAAAGACACAAACAGAAAACCTAAAATAAAATTGTTCTGAGTTTATGGTTCCATTCTGGGAAGTGAGGCCCTGATGGCAACGACAGACCTCTGATGGATAATTCTAGGAGCTGAAGCAACAGATAAAGAGTTCAGAGAAACCACAAGACTGGAAAAAAGGGCCAAAAATGTTGGGTCGACCCAGCCTGAGAAGACCGGCCAGCAGGGCCGTGCAAGGAGTGACACCGCTGAACGTTAGGCTCATATCGTGCATGTACACATATATTTAGAAGCAGTTGTTAAAATGTCATACAGACCAAGAACAAGGATAATTACAAGCTTGATACATGCATGCACACATGCCTGCGTTTGTCAGCTTGCAGTTTAAAATCAGGGAATAACGGATTAACAGCTTGCAGTGATAGAGGTCATCTGATCTAAAATTGGATCAATCTAAACCTTAAAAGAAACAGTTACAGAGGTTGAGGAATGCTAACGTTTTTGTGGAAAACTCACTCGATTTCCAAACGTGCACGTTAGCAAAGTGACGTATTAACTTACAGTGTGTTGAATGTGTGTGTTCTGACAGTTTTGTTTTCTAAGTTTACCGTAAGATCATGATAAAAAAAAAAAAGTGTTGAACGTATTTGAAAAATATTGTGGGGTACAAAAACGTCAAAGTTAACCAAATGTAACAGAGTGCGTGTTAGATCACTTGCTGACTGTGCAAAGAAAAGAGCACAGAGGTGCAAGAAACATCCATCCATCTTACCAGCTTCTTTCCCTGTCACAGGGTTACCGATGCAGGTCACTGATGCCTATATCCAGCAGTCACTATGTGAGAGGCAAGGGACACCCTGGACAAGTTGCAAGTCAATTACAGGGACACATAGAGACAAATGAGACAAACAACCATGCACTCTCTCACTCACACCTAAAGACAATTTAGAGTTACCAATCAGTCTAACATGTATGTTTGTGGTCTGTGGGAGGAAACCGGAGTACCCGGAGAAAACCCACGCATGCACAGAGAGAACACACAAACTCCACCCAGAAAGGCCCCCGGACGGGGATTTGAACCAGGGACCTGCTCGCTGAGAGGCAGCAGCTCTACCAGTTGCGCCACCGTGCTGCCCTCTATCTTATCAATATACTCAAAACTCTTTACATTACAATCTGTGCCCTCATTTACCCATTCCTACAGCACTCTACTATTTCTGTACAAAGATTAATCAGAGCTTTATCACATTCATACACGGGTGGGACACACATAGGAACCGATGAGGGGTTCAGTGTCTTTCCCAGGGACACTTAGGTATGTGACTGCTGGTGGAATCAAACCCCCAACTCTTGCATTGGAAGATGACTGCTCTAACCACTCTGCCACGGCCGCCCCGATACAAACCCATACATGCAAACTTCACCCAGAAAGTCACCAGGCCATGAAGAAATCCTGCAACCTTCTCACTGAAAGGCAACAGTTCTTGTAAATCTGCATTTCCATTTAAAACCTCTTAAAAACACAACAACACACTGCCAGGCATGGCCTTGGGACCTGTGTTTTTGAAATCCTTACATGCCTTCAGTACCATCAACACTATAAATCCATCTTTCTTTTAGTCAGCACTATTCAAACTCAGAACATTTTAAAAGCTCCATCAGTTTGGGAAGTGCATTCAACCCTTCTTGAATATATATTTTTGTATAAGTGAAACAACATTCCAACAATAGAAACTCACAAGCCCACACAAGTACACAAATAATGTGTTCTTTACCATGTCCGGTTCACATAAAAAAAAAAAAACCTAAGCTAGAATTGAATTTACTCATCATCTTGTTGTCATTCTCGGTCAAAGAGTTGCTGGTTTTCCATCAAAACCAGTAATATTTCAGACATCCTTCAGTGTCTGTGTTGTGGCAATATTTGGTGGAGCAATCAGATGCGGACCCTCAAACAACCCAAGCCACCAAGAAAAGGAAGGCAAAATTAGTACCACAACTTTGGTCTTGGTGAACTCTGACCTGCTTGATTCCAGTTGGAGATCGTAGCTCTATTGTGGGTTTCTTATCACACATGGTTTCTTAAGTTTTCATATTTCCTGTTTCCTGTTTGGTATTCTTGTTTTGTAGTTATTTTGTTCTTACTTCCTGTTTTACATTGATATAGCAGTTCTCCTTTGTGGGATTCCAGTATTTTGCCCCTGTAGCCTCATAAGTGGCGCCAATGAGCAGCAGCTGTGTTCAAGTCCTGTAATGAGCTCCAGGGGTACAAAGGAAGTGTTCTCTTCTCCAATGGAACATTGGATGCAAACTGATATTTGTGGCAGCCCTTTAGTGATTCCTGAGCTTTATGATTGAGACACCAGTTTTCTATGTTTTCCTAATCCTGGTTCCTGATGATTATCCTAGACTTATGTGTTTTCCTTCATGCCTTCTAGTTGAAAAAGACCCTGGATCATTTGGTACTACTTGCCTTCAGCCTAAGCCTGTCCTACCACTCACATGCCAGCTTGCCTTCAACCTACAAACCACAACAGTACCGTACTACCACTTACCTCATAATCTCCATCTCTGCATCCTTACATACCTGGTATCCTCCGACACCCTCTCTGTGACACTGAACCACTAGGACCCTATAAGGAAAATAATATTTAATATTAATCTAAACTCTACATTACCTGGAAGCCATACATAACAATTTCCCTCCTTTGCAGATCTTCCCATTGCCTCCTGTATATACCACTTATAAATAAACATCACTTTTATCCTGAGGTGCTTGAGTCTGTTAGTCTCAGTTCCTCAGCTCTGAGTGTTTATTGTCGCAATTATGATATACTCGGACTTTTGATTAAATGTACTTCTGTTTTCTGTGTCCCACCTGGTTTCAGTTCCAGTAAGAACACCCCAAATGTATTGTCATTAGCTCAGGAAGCATAACCTTGGTTAGTACATCATTATTCAGACAGATGTCTGAGGCTGTAGCCTCCTTGTCTCCTGTCTGCCCCTTGATGGATGTGCTGAAATGAAATTTCCCTTTGGGATCAATAAAGTATATTGAATGATTGACTGATTAATGTTTCACATATATCTTAGATCTTTTAGCTTATCGTTTAACGTTCGGACAGAGTATATCTTAGCATATATCCATCCATCCATCCATTCATCCATTATCTTCCACTTGTTCCAAAGTCGGGTAGTGGGGGCAGCAGCTTGATCAGGGAGGCCCAGACATCTCTTTCCACAGCCACGGGGGGGACCCCAAGGTACTCCCAGGCCAACTGAGAGACAGTCTCTCAAGCGTGTCCTGGGTCTCCTCCCAGTCAGACATGCCCTAAGCACCTCCCTATGGAGGTGCTCATGAAGCATTCTTACCATTTGCCCAAATCACCTCAGCTGGCTCCTCTCTTAGATCTGTATATACTGTTTCTTTTTATACTTTATATTTTTGCTATTTTTGGGTGTAACTGGGACCTTGAGTACACAATTTCGTTCCACTTCATGTACCGCATGTGATGCGAATGACACTAAAGAACCTTGAACCTTGGTTTTTAGTTGTTCTTTTTCAGAGCCTCATTGTTTTGATCATTTGTGGGTTTTGCCAATGGGCTTAGTTAAATAAAGTAGTTAGTGATGGGAATGCTATCTCTCTGGGCTCAACTCACCAATAATAGCTGTGTCTTTCAGCTCGCAAATGGCTTGTCACTTAGTACTATGAGGAACCATTTGGTAACTGAAAGAGCTGGCTGTGTGAATCCTGGAAAAGAGCCTGATACCCAGACCTACTTCAGTCTATTTCCATTTTTCATTCATTCAACCTTTATTTAGACAGGTAAAGCCCATTGAGCCTCGAGGACTCATTTACAAGAGAGACCTGATTTAGTTCCTGGATCCATCTACCTACTTATTTCCACCATCCTCTCCAATATCTGACCGTGTCTTCTGAAAGATCAATGTGTTTCAACTTTTCCTTTAGTCAGCCAACACAACTTGACCACTGAAGAATTCAAATGAAGTCTGTGAACATATTGGCTTGGGTTCAAATACTGGTAAAGTTCAAATACTTCCAGTGCAAAAATACTCTTCTTTTTCAAAGCTGTTAAACCATCAAAGTAAGCTGTCTAATAACGAGATAACTAATGGTGTTACATGGTTATTGTTGTGGCTGAATGGTGTATTTAAACATTGCTGGGAGTGTTGGCCTTTCAACACAGACTTCAAATAATCCCAGAGGTTTAAGCCCTTTGTCTGCTTGTTATAACAGTGTCTGACCTCTTTGAACCCATTTACTGGTCTTCCATGTGCTCTTCCTGTCCTCACTGAGCTGTCAGTCTAACTGTAATTTAACAATTGACCATTTCCCTTTTTTATGGCTCATCTTTGGCGACCCTTACTCATAGCATGT